CACCCCCTCTGGCGTTGAGAAATTCCACACTTTTAGGCTTTTCGACAGTGTCGTGGATAGCGGCCGCGGTGAGAGACTTCCCCTGCGCACCCCCTCTGGCGTCGAGAAACTGCAGCGCCTGCGAAGCTTTTCGACAGTGTCGTGGATAGCGGCCGCGGTGAGAGACCACCCCCTGCGCACCGCCTTCGGCGTCGAGAAGTTGCCGCGCCTGCTAAGCATTTCGACAGTGTCGTGGATAGCGGCCGCGGTGAGAGACCACCCCCTGCTCACCCCCCCTGGCGTCGAGAGAGTGCCGCGCCTGCTAGGCTTTGTTCGGCAGTGTCGTGGATAGCGGCCGCGGTGAGAGACCACCCCCTGCGCACCCCGTGTGGTGTCGAGAAAGTGCCACGCCTGCTAGGCACCCCCTGTGGCCCCTGTGGTGTCGAGAAAGTGCCACGCCTGCGAGGCTTTGCGCCAGTGTCGTGGATAGGGATTGCGCTGAGAGACGACCCCCTGCCCACCCCCTGTGGTGTCGGGAAAGTGCCACGCCTGCCAGGCTTTGCGCCAGTGTCGTGGATAGCGGCCGAGCTGAGAGACCACCCCCTGCGCACCCCCTGTGGTGTCGAGAAAGTGCCACGCCTACTAGGCTTTGCGACAGTGTCGTGGATAGCGACCGAGCTGAGAGACCACCCCCTGCGCACCCCCTTTGGTGTCGAGAAAGTGCCACGCTTGCTAGGCTTTGCGCCAGTGTCGTGGATAGCGGCCGAGCTGAGAGACCACCCCCTGCGCACCCCCTGTGGTGTCGAGAAAGTGCCACGCCTGCTAGGCTTTGCGCCAGTGTCGTGGATAGCGGCCGAGCTGAGAGACCACCCCCTGCGCACCCCCTGTGGTGTCGAGAAAGTGCCACGCCTGCTAGGCTTTGCGCCAGTGTCGTGGATAGCGGCCGAGCTGAGAGACCACCCCCTGCCCACCCCCTTTGGTGTCGAGAGAGTGCCACGCCTGCTAGGCTTTGCGCCAGTGTCGTGGATAGCGGCCGAGCTGAGAGACCACCCCCTGCGCACCCCCTGTGGTGTCGAGAAAGTGCCACGCCTGCCAGGCTTTGCGCCAGTGTCGTTGATAGGGACCGCGGTGCGAGACCACCCCCTGCTCACCCCCCCTGGCGTCGAGAAATTGCCGCGCCTGCTAGGCTTTGTTCGGCAGTGTCGTGGATAGCGGCCGAGCTGAGAGACGACCCCCTGCCCACCCCCTGTGGTGTCGGGAAAGTGCCATGCCTGCTAGGCTTTGCGCCAGTGTCGTGGATAACGGCCGAGCTGAGAGACCACCCCCTGCGCACCCCCTTTGGTGTCGAGAAAGTGCCACGCCTGCTAGGCTTTGCGCCAGTGTCGTGGATAGCGGCCGAGCTGAGAGACCACCCCCTGCACCCCCTGTGGTGTCGAGAAAGTGCCACGCCTGCTAGGCTTTGCGCCAGTGTCGTGGATAGGGACCGCGGTGAGAGACCACCCCCTGCGCACCCCCTGTGGTGTCGAGAAAGTGCCACGCCTGCTAGGCTTTGCGCCAGTGTCGTGGATAGCGTCCGAGCTGAGAGACCACCCCCTGCGCACCCCCTTTGGTGTCGAGAGAGTGCCACGCCTGCTAGGCTTTGCGCCAGTGTCGTGGATAGGGACCGCGGTGAGAGACCACCCCCTGCGCACCCGCTGTGGTGTCGAGAAAGTGCCACGAGCTGTGCTGTGCTGAGCTGAGCCGTGCTGGGCTGTGCTGAGCCGTGCTGAGCTGAGCCGAGCTGTGCTGTGCTGCGCTGAGCTGAGCTGTGCTGTGCTGAGCTGAGTTGAGCTGAGCTGAGCAGTGCTGTGACGAGGGGGGGGGGAGAGTGAAGTGTGTGTGTGTGTGTGTGAGTGAGGGGAGGAAGAAAGAGAGAGGAGGGGAGGTGTGAGGAGACGCGGGTGCGGCGCGGCAGGGAAGAAAACCAGAACCCCACGAAACACGTGGGGAAAAATCGCCCCATTCCCTTCGTACAACTTACAATTTTAGCATATTCGCCTTTCGGATTTCATCAGCTTTCAAGACGGTTTCAAAGCCCCCGAGATCGCCTCAAGACGTTCCAAAAGGCCCCCAAGAAAGCTTCAAGACGGCCGAGCCGGGCCCCCCGATCGCCCACGAGAGCCCCAAGACAGCCCATAATGGAACCAAGAGGCCCCCCAAGGGCTCCCAGCACAGACCCAAAAGGGCCATGGGAGGTCCCCGGAAGTGCCCAAAATAGATCCAAAGGGGGCTCCAGCGGGCCCAAGCTCCCCAAGACAGCCCAAAAGCCCCAGGACGGCCCATGAAGGCGCCAAAACGGCCCACGAGGGCCCCGAAAACACCCCCACGATGTTTCCGAATGCCAGCACAAAGACCCCCACGGCATCCCGAGAAGCTTTCCAAGGGGCCTTCAAAGCACAAAAATCGTCCCATTCCCTTCGTAAAACTTACAAGTTTAGCATATTCGCCTTTTGGGATTTCATCAGCTTTCAAGACGGTTTCAAAGCCCCCGAGACCGCCTCAAGACGCCCAAAAAGGCCCCCAAGAAAGCTCCAAAACGGCCAAGCTGGACCCCCAGATCGGCCACGAGAGCCCCAAGACAGCCCATAATGGAACCAAGAGGCCCCCCAAGGGCTCCCAGCACAGACCCAAAAGGGCTATGGGAGGTCCCCGGAAGTGCCCAAGATGAATCCAAAGGGGGCTCCAGCGGGCCCAAGCTCCCCAAGGCGGCCCAAGGCCCCAGGACGGCCCATGAAGGCGCCAAAACGGCCCACGAGGGCCCCGAAAACACCCCCAAACGAGGAGGGGGAGGAGGAAGAGGGAGCCGTCAGATCCGCTTCGCCCGGGTATGCTCACAACTCCCACCTCAGAAACGCTTTGCCTCGCAGTGGTCCCGCCATTTTCGCCTGAGACATCCTCGCAACTCTGGAGTCCGAGACGCCCTGGCCTGAGGTGTTCAGGCCAATTTCGCCTGAGACAGTCTCGCAAGTCTGACTTCGGAGGTGCCCTGCACCATGGTGGTTAGCCTACTTTCGCCTGCGACTTCTCGCAACTCTGGATTTCGGGATGCCCTGAGCTGAGGTGTTCAGACCACTCTTCGCTTGAGACTTCCTCGCAAGGCTGACTTCGGAGATGCCCCGGCCCATAGTGCTCGGGCCAATTGCGCCTAAGACATCCTCGCAACTCTGACCTCGGAGGTGCCCAACCCCAAGGTGGTCCGGCCACTTCCGCATGCGACACCCTCGCAACTCTGCGTCCGGGGATGTCCTAAGCTGCGGTGTTCCGGTCATCTTCGCCAGAGCCATCTTCGCAACTTTCGGTTCCGAGGTGCCCTGAGCTGAGGAAATCAGACCACTGTGGCCTGAGACCTCATCCGAACTCTGACCTCGGAGAAGCCCTGCCCCAAGGTGGTCCGGCCACTTCCTCTTTGAGACTTTCTCGCAACTCTACGTTCCAGGGCTCCTTCAGCTGAGATGTTCGGGCCACTTTCGCTAGAAACGTTCTCGCAGCTCTGGGTTCCGAGATGCCCTGCCCCATGGTATTCCGCCACTTTCGCTTGAGACATCCTCGCGCCACTGAGTTCCGGTCTGTCCTGAGCTGAGGTGTTCAGGCCGTTTTCGCTTGAGACATCCTCGCTATTCTGAGATCGGGTATGTCCTGAGCGGAAGTGTTCAGGCCAATTTCGCTTTAGACATCCTCGCACACTGACTTCGGCGATGCATTGTCCCATGGTAATCTGGCCAGTTTCGCTTGAGACCCTCGCACCTTTCTTTCATTTGCGCCCCGAGCAACTGGTCAGGCCACTACCGCCTGAGATACCCATGTGTATGCGAACCCATAGTTATATACGTACATGTGTATAATATATATATATATATATATATATATATATATATATATATATATATAATATATATATATATATATATTTATATATTTATGTATATATACACATATACACACATGTACATATGGGCGTGCACCGACAAAGCACGTACGAGTTGCATATGCATGTTCATACCCTTACACACATAAATGAACATGTACATGTGTACGATGTATACACTCATACAACAATGTAAGTATATTGTATACACCCAGACATTTATACGGAAAATGCATGCGCGCGTGTATACATGCATGCGCAAATGTACGCACGCACGCATTCCGCCTGCGTGCAGAACTCAGATGACCAAGGTGCATGGCGCGCAGCGCCAATGCAGTCTTGTACATACACACACATATATATATACATATACATATACATATATATATATATATACATATATATATATATATGTATATATATGTGTGTGTGTGTTGGGGGACGAAGCCTGGGGGGCCGCCCAGGGACCGCCCTCGCGCCTTGGGGGGGCCGGAGCCCCGCCCAAACAGTTTCGAGGATCCGAGACGCCGCAAGACAGCCCGAAAGGCGTTCACGACAGATCCGCTTCATGACCGCCCCGACTGCCCGCGATGACTTCCACGCACTCAAGGGGCGCCCCATAGAGGCCCAAGAGGTCCGCAAGCGGTTCCTCCAGAGTCCGGACCGCTCAAGCCCGCCCCAAAAGACCGGTCCTGGGCGTTTTCAGAGGCTACCATGAGGGTCCCACGACTGCCCACGAGATGCCCGAAAATAGACCCCGGATGGCGCAGGCAAGTCCCAATAATGCGCCAAGACCGCCCCAATAGCGACCCAAGACAGCCCAATATGACTTCCAGACGTTCAATCCGTAGCCATTTTGGCGCAAACCATTTTGGCTCAAGAGCGCCACCCGTGCGAGGACAGGCCTCGCGGCACTGGAGCTTGAGTGCCCGTGCTTTGTGGCTTCGAACCTTGGTCTCGTCTCCCCTTTTCTCAGCCTGCCGCGATGGGGAAGCGACGGTCTGACAGAAGAGGAGCTGTTTCCATAAGCGATTCCAGGAGTTCGTCCTCTGCGCGCCGCAGCGCCAGCAGGACTCCCGACGCCCGCCAAGAAGGGTCGTGCCACACGGACGATGTCATGGGCAAGCTGGAGCTTATCTCAGGGAACATCTCGTCCCTCAGCCAGACGATGATGCAGAACAACGCGGATGTTGCCGACTTGAAACAATCAGTGGCTGGCTCGATTTCTCGATGCAGTGAACTTTCGGACCAGGTCACCCTCATGGGCCGTACCCCAGCAGCTCACCCAGGATCTCTCGGAGGCTCTCAGGGCCCAGGACGCCAAGATCGAAGCCATGAGATCTGAATTCATCGTGAAGGACTGCGAAAACATGGACACCGCCATCGATATTGCCCTAGCCTCTCGATGTGACGACATTTGCCAGCAGCTGAACGAGCTCAAGGAAGCGCAGAAGGTGGCGGAGACCCGCCTTTGTGAGATTGCGTCTACTCCTACCCCACGCCCGTCCCGCTCGCCCTCGATGCCGCTGGGCCGCCGCCGTGGTGCAGCACCTGAGGCCAGATCGTATGAGGGCAAACAGCACGATGCTTGTAAGTTGATATTGCTAGGCTTCCCTCGCCCTCTGCTCCTCGCCGATGTCAAAGCCATTGGATTTCGGTGCAAGGAGACTTTCGGTCCGTCGCAGGCCCAGGCCACCATCATTGTCAGAGCTTTTGATCTCTCCAAGAAGGTCTCTTTGCTCTTTGAGAATGCGAGTGCCGCGAGCTCCTTTCTCGACGCTTTTTTCGAAGGTCGGAGGCCGCTCGTCGACACCCGATCCTCTTCACCCTGGCTCCTCTCTCTCACCCTTCGGTCGCGTCGCGATCTTGGTCTGAATGCTCGTCAGATGCGTCTTTCACTTGGGCGTGCGAGAGCGAAGCTCGCCGCCGCACTCGCCCCGCGTGGATTGGCGGCGGGCAGCTCTGGCCTCGGAGGGTCGGTCTACATTTTGCGCAGCCCTCGCGGCCCTGCCCCCTGCGGTCACAATTCGCATCTCATCGGACGCCGACATTTTGTGCGAGGTTGATCGCGATGTCGCTGTTGAGTTTGGCATCGCAGATCTCATCGACACAGTGCAGGCGGAGGCCGCGGTTCGACTCCGCAACTCTCCCTTTTCGCGCTGAGGCCGACTGCGCAAACAGGCAGGTGCTTGCACCCCCGCCGAGCGGTCTGCCTGGACAGACCGTTGGCGCGGATGGGCTGCCCTCTGCTTCTCCTCTTTCTATGTGTGCCTGGAACACGGAAGCCCTCTTCGCTACCGTCCGTTCTTCGTCATGGAAAGCTTCTGCCCGATTCAAACACTTCTTGCGATTATGCAACAGTCATCGCATCGTCGCAATACAGGAAACGCGCGGACATCGCGGAGACCTCGCTGAGCTCTCCAGAGAGCTTGATCAGCATCGGTGCGCCGCTTCCTTTTTTCCTGACTCGCCCGCGGAAGGTGGCGTGCTCGCGCCCCCCCCCCCCCCCCCTTCAGTTGTTATTTGGGTCGCGTGCGTTACTCATGCGCCTGCGATCGCGGGGGGGGCCCTGAAGAGTGCACGCGTGGGGCCGCGCGGGAACCTCGTAATCTATAACATCCATCTTCCCAACACCTCCGACTCTTTCTTTGTGTTCTCTAGTGTCTTACATTGCCTTCATAAGGATGCGCAGCAATGCCCGCCGGGCGGCGCGGGCGAGCCTGCGCGCATTATCACGAGGGGGGACTGGGACTTCGTGGTGGAAGGAGAGGGGGGGGCGCGCCGGGAGATGGCAGCGGGTGGGCTGCAGCAGACGTTCGACAGTCTAAGTTCTCCTTTCAACTGTTTGCATCGCTCACTGAACTGCATCAGGAACAGGATGCGAGGAGGGGGGGGGGCGCGGGGCGGCGGTGTCGCAGACTGCTCGCTTAGACCGGCTATATTCCTCTTTGCCGCCAGCGGTGCTCCGTGATCTCACGGCGACTGCAGGCGCTGGTGGCGCGCTTCGTTCTTTCACGCCCAGCGACCGCATCCCTGTCGAGGTTTTGATGGGGCGTTACCGTCCTGACTCCAGCCAACCCGCAATCCCTCCGTGGATTGCCGGGCTGCCTGAATTCAGTAAGGCCCTTCAGGAGCTCATCTCTGGGATCCCTGGTACTTGGGGCGTCTGGAGAAAGCTGGAGATCACAAAGGAGCTCATCTTTACCGCTGGGCGTCGCGCTCGTGCCGCTATTTTCGTTCGCCCAGCCCGCTCTCTGCAAGAGCGGCACTTTTGGGCACTGACAGCGCTGCGAGCCTTGGCCACAGGTGATGTCAGGAAGTTGCGATCTGCTCTTCAATGTTACCCTCGTCTGTCTGTTCATTTTGATTCCGACCTACAGTGTATTCATATTCACGGTCTTACTCAGCATAGTTTCTCATTATACACACGTATTCTTCGGGATGAGGAGCAGGAGATCAGGAGATTCAGCGCGCTCTAGCTGCTAAACATCGCCGTCGCCCCCTCTTGTGGGGAGAGTTTTGGTGCCGCACGGCCCCGGGCTCGGTTACAAATGAGAATGGAGTTCCTTGTCCTTCGTTAGGGCTTTCTGCCCTGGCTCTTGGGGGCTTCTGGGCTGATGTGTTTCGGGCGCCCACTGTGGATGCGACTCTTTGGGAAGACGTTCGGCCATGTATTCCTTCGCTCGACGCTTCTCTCGACACGCAGTGGCAGCTAGACTACCCCGTCTGGTATGAGATGATTCGCAAGCGCCCTTGCAGCATGCCTGGCCCTGACGGCATCCCGTATGCAGTGTGGAAGTGCCCTCATGCGTCTAGGATGCTCTTTTCCTGCTACCTCCCCCTCTTCAATGACGGCATCCACTCCCTCCCCGATGATATGAAGCTCAGCCTCCTCGTCTTTCTCCCGAAGGGGTCAGACGCTCAGGACCGCCCTTGCTGCGCTCTCACGAGGACGCCAGTGGCTACCCGTCCGTTGGGCATGAGCAATACGGATGTGAAACTTTTAGCGGTTGCGTTTATTTGCGCTGTTACCTCGGCTACTGATTCTTTGATTGGGAGGGGGCAACAATGTGTGGGTGGGAGGGACATGATTGAGAATGTGGTTCGTGCCGAGGCCTGGGGCTTATGTAGGCACCTCCGTGATGATCTTCACGCCGCGCTTCTGCTCGCTGACTTTGCTTCTGCGTTCCCGAGCCTTGCGCAGAGTTGGTTATTCTTTGTCTTAGAGCAGATGAGAATTCCCTCGGCCATTGTTCGTTTCTTTCGCATGATGCATGATGCCAATCGTGCGGTTGTCACGCTAGCAGGTCGTCGATTTCAAGAGATCTCGATCGAGTCGGGGGTGAAGCAATGGCGTCCAGCTTCCATGTTCTTGTTCGTTCTGGCGGTGGAACCGCTGCTGAAGTGGATTCGCCACAGTTGTGCGGCGAACATCAGCCTCAATCTTGCGTGCGCAGATGACTTCCTTATTGGCCTGGTGAATGTGCTTGTCGACCTAGACCCGCTCCTGTCTGTGCTGCTGAATCTTCGACATATTGCCAATTTGAAGCTTAACTTCAAGAAAAGTCAGATCCTGCTCTGTGGGAGCACGAAGGAGGTATTGTTCCGCACCGTGCTGGCGAGTTATGGCACCCCTTATCTCGCAGTTTCAAGTGGTTCGTTGGGCGCTTTACCTTGGGCTTCCAATTGGTCCCGAGGCGGCCGTGCACGTGTGGCCCGACATCCTTCCTGGTTTTGTAGAAAGAGTTCACCAAACTCGCCAACTCGGGCTAGGTCTGGCGCGGAGCGCGGTGGCCTTTCGAGTGATGTGCGTCTCCACGTTATTGTACCAATTGCAGCTGCACCCGCCGAGTCCTTTTCTTATCCACCACTTTCGTGAAGCTGTTATGCGTTTGACTTCGGGGCCTCGAAATGCCATTTCATATAACATCGCCGTTAAACTCAAATCGATTGGTTTTCGGTCCGGGTTTGTCGGGATCCTTGCCGTCTCTCGTGCCGCGCAGATTCGTTACTTCCTCCGGTCGCATAGTATGTACGGGCTTCTGGAGGACTTTGAGGCTACTCGGGAGGATCTGGAACATATTCCTTATCGCTGGCATGTAGGGTGGAATCAGGATTCCTTTCTGGGCTACGCGAGACGATCGAGGTCTTGGTTTCTTGGGCTACACTTGATTCTCTCGACTGGGACCCCAAAGCTGCAACACCAGCTTTACCTCGCCGTCCGTGCTCTTCAACAGTCTGAACCTGTTCGACAGACCATCCTGCGTCGCATCCGACTGTTGGATCTCGCGTTGGGCATGGAGCATGTTGATTGTTTTTGCAAAGCGATTCGTCGCGTTTGTGTTGCAACCTCGATGTATGTGGGTGTCGCTCCGCTCAGACTGATCACAGGCTCAGTGTGCACGTCTGCCCGTTTCCATTCGCGCGCTGCCGGCCGCTTATTCGGATGCCAACCTGCTGCGAGAGAAGATCTGGACTCTGTTCGCCACTACCCTCAATGTCCTAAGCTCGAATCCCTCTTGAGTTCGTGGCTGGGTGATGAGTTAGAAGTCATAAGTGGACAAGTGAGACGCCATTGGTTCCTCTCCTGCTCCCTCCTCTTCTTTGATTCTTTATCGGCCACTTTAAAGCGCGCTGCCTGTGTCGATGCTTTCTTTGCTGCACTCAACTCGAGGAGGTTGAGACGCGATGCCTCTCCCGAAGAGGTCTTTGAAGCTCGCGTGCGCGTGCTTGCTCGAAGGCATCGTGTGCTTGCGAACGCCTGGAGTTTCGCCTCCGCTCCCTGCGGTGCGTGCACCTGGCACGCCGCGGGGTAGATGGGAACTCCCGAGTGAAGAAGCGCCGCCGACGCGCTGTGGCGAGGTCAGTGCTGCTGGACGCCGCCGTCGACCGCCTTCTATTACAAACTTAAATAACTCGGTGAGAACCGTTTTTTGTTTAATATATATATATATATATATTTAAAAAAAAGAGGAGACTTCCAGGCGTTCAATGGACGACCATGTTTGCAAGAAGGTTCCCCCAGAGGCCAGACGGCCGAAAGAATGACAAACCATCGGTTGTCTTTCGGCTCTTGAAGGCTTTGAGCTTTTCGTTTATTCTATTTTTCAACCGCCCAAAGCGGCCCAACATGCTCCCACCCCCGGGAGCCCCAAGAGGCTGCCATTTTCTTTTTCAGCCGCCCAAGACGGCCCAAAATGCGTCCAAGACCGCCCCCCGGGAACCCCAAGAGGCTGCCAAGAGGGCCCCACGGTTGCCCACGAGGGCCCAGGGACGGACCAGGAGCCATCCAAGACGGCCAAAGGGAACCAGACAAGAGCCTCCAGACGGCGCAGGTGGCTCCCAACACTCCCCAGGAGCGCTCGAAGACGACCCAAGATGACATCCAGACGCTCGAGGGGCGCACCTGGATGCCTCGGACCAGCAGCCCTCCCACGCCCAAGACGCCCAACAGGTCCGCAAGAGGCTCCTCCAGAGAGCTGACGGAATGACAAGCCATTGAATTCCATCCAGTTTTTGAAGGATTTGAGCTCCTCGTTTTTCTGTGTCCCGACCGCCCAAGACGGCCCAAAAGGCTTCCAAGACCGCCCTTGGCAGTTTCGAGAGGCTCCCAAGAGAGCCTACGACGGCCCGGGAGGGCTCAGGGAAGGGCCAAGAGCCACCTAAGACGGCCTAAAGGGGGCCCCAAACAATGCCCCCAGAGGAAGCTCCGAAACTGCTCCAGAGCGCTCGGGGTTTCTCGACGACACCCCCTGGACGGCGCGCGACCCCGAGACCTCCCCAGAGGCGCCCCAGTCCTCCAGGGAGCCGAAAGAGGCCCGAAGATGCTTTGCTTCCCCCTCTGTCTCGGGGGTGGACAAAACCTCCACCTTGACACGTCGGTTCGTGAATTGTCCGTTTTCGGTTTTCGATCGGGCACCGCGGCCGTCATTTTCCAAGCTTGTGCCCGCCAGGTTTGGGCCCGAGGTCGTTGTCACTGAACCACGTTTTCCTAAAAGGGGTTCTGTCCATCCCTGACTGTCGGGCTCCCGACCGCCCAAGGCAGCCCCAAAGGATCCCAACACTTCACCTGGAAGCCCCAAGTTGCCAAGAGGGCCCACGCGACTGCCCACGAATGCACATTGACGACCCGAGAGGCACCCGAGAAGGCCAAAGAGCACCCCACAAGGATTCCAAGGGGAGACACAGAGGAAACTCCGATGCGGCTCAAGCGCGCTCCGGAATCCTCCACGACAGCATCCAGACGGCTCCAGAGGCCCCCAAGACGCCTCACGACCGACTCAAGAGCACTCCAAGGCTCCTCCAGAAAGACGACTGCTCAACTCATTTGTTGTTTTTTACAGATGTTCAGGTTCTCGTGTTTCGGGTCCCCGACTGCCCAAGAGGGCCCGAAAGTTAGACCGCTCTTGGAGCCGCCAAGAGGCTGCAAAGAGAGCCTCACGACAGCCCAAGAGGGTCGGGGACGGCCCAAGTGCCGCCCAAGACGGCCAAAGAGAGACCTAAGAGGGCCGCAAAAGAGGCCATATAGCCAACTGGTATTTCGAATTTGTCGACTTCGAAAGGCCCCAAGGACCCCCAAGAGGCACCCCATCGGCCTCGAGAGGGGCCCATGAGGCACAAGAGGGCGCCAAAGATGGCCTTTCACGAGGGCGCCAAGAGGCGACAATGACAAAGTTGCTTTTCGGTTTGTGATTCATTTCGACGTTCTTGCCGTTTCGTGCGTTTCACGCTCGACGATTGCTGAATACCCCAAGATCGTCCCGATGCAGACTGAAAGCTTTCCGTCGGCGCCCTCCTCCACCCTCCACTCAGTCGGCTCGCCTCCTCTTGCGCCGCTCTCCCCTCTCGCCGCTGCGCCCTACTGTGTGCGGGCTTGTGTGTGTTGGCTCTGTTGAGTGTGGCCCATCATCGCTGCACCAGAGCTTGCTTCACCATCGCGTCGGAGGGGCAACGTATGCGTGTGTGTGTGCGTGTGTCGGAATCCCGCTGACTGACTCCGCTGCACAGCTGCGCACGCAACCGCCACGCCAGAAAGAATGATGGCATCTGCGACATGTTGGCCCTTTGTCCCTCCCATGGATCCGCCTGGCCGTTGTTTTTCTCAGTTTGCTCATTTCCCCGAGAGGCTGGCTTTCCTCATGCCCCCAGTGCTACTCATCCAGTTCCTCATTGCTCTTCGGTGGCCGGCGCTGCTTGCCCAGCCCACTTCTCGTCCCCGCAGCGTTGCGCCCTCTGCCCGCAGGGGCTCCCGCGGAGAAAGAAGACGGTGACGATGGCTCCGAGGGCGTCCATCCAGGAGTACGATCCGGCGTTAGCTGTTTACACACCCTCGCGAAGGCCCCCTTCCGTTCTTGCCACTTCGTCGGCGCGGTGCTACCGAGCTTCTCTTGCCGGCTTTCTTCCAACGAGCAGGAGCGGGTTGTTGCCGCATGTTGTTTTGCCACCTTTTGAATTACCGATCCCATCTTTTCCTCGTCACCCTTCCCACCATCCCTCGATCCTCCCTCGTCGCTCGTCTTTATTCCACCGCCCCTCCCCCGTCCTCCCTGGACCCCCCATTTCTCCGCAAGGATGCACCCACATCCATCCCGCCTCGAACTCGAGCCTGGGACATCTTCAGACGTGTGGAGACGGATGCCTGCCCGTCTCTGGGGGCATCAGTGTATCCGCACGGTCCACCGTTCCCCAGGGATCCAGGGCAGGACTCTTTCCTTGCGTTGCGCCCATGCCCTGCCCCACCCTAAGTTCTAGGCCTCCGATCGCGCCGCGTCGCCGGTGCATCGCCGATGCGGCACGATGTGCAGCCCGATTTGCGTCACGCCGACGTCGCCGATGCATTGCCGACGTCGACGGTACATCGCTGGTGCATCGACGATGCATCGCCGATGTATCGCCGATGCGGCGCGATCCGCCGACCCCATCTGCTCCGACCCCATCTAGGAGGCCTCAATGAGTGGCCAGGGGTTTGGATTAGGTCGGACCTGTCCCTCTACAGGGGGAATGTTCAAAAATAGCCAAAACATACTATGGGGATTTTTTTTGTACATGTTTGGGCATCTTTTGTGCCTTTTTGGCGCATTTTTTATTGGTCGTCCAAAATCCCACTGTAGGGGGACAGGCCCGGCCTGAGGTTTGGAATCGGAGTGGAGCACTCCAGGCGCCGAAGCCGAGGCGCGTGCAGTCGTGGGTGCTCCGTGGCCGTGTCTGCCGGCGCGTCCGAGGTCGAGCAGCAGCCGCAGCGGCCGTGAGAGGGCGCAGTTCGCAGAGCGTGGCATGAAGTCGGGCCTGTCCCTCTACAGGGAGAATATAGAAAAAATAGTTTAAAAAATAGCCTGGGGACTGGTTTAGACAATTTTTGCTCCTTTGTATTGTGTTTCTGGGGTCTGTTCAATGTTTCGTTCATAATCGGCCCGTAGGGGGACAGGCCCGCCTTAAACGTAGCACACTGCGACATGATCACAGACAGCACGGACAACGCACAGTGCCTACTCGTCATGACGTGCGAAAGGTGTGACTCGTCATTGCCCCGCGAGCATCCACAACGAGGCGCCCCCGCGATGGTACCAGTGCGACGCCAGCGCTTCAGAACGCATGGCCAGATATCGATCGCCCAAGACCAAAGAATAACATACACGGAAATGTTCAGAGGCCCGCCGGTTTTTATCGGGTCGTTGACGGTCCCGCCTCCCCACACCCTTGGCGACCTTTTTCTGAATCGCCAGCCTCAGCATCGCCAGCATACTCACCATATGATTGTGCACGCGCGCAACAAATGTCCATGGTCGCAGTAAGCGACCGCGGGCACAAGCCCAGAAGGACAGATTGCGTGCATGAAAGAGAGAAGAGAGAGGGGATGAAGCAGATTAGGAGGGAGGGGTGAGGTGAGCAAGCAGGCGAGGGAGAGGGAGGGAGGGATTTGTTGGGAGAGAAGGAGCGAAGAAAGTAGAAGGACGACAACAGCAGCGTAAACACTTCAATCGTGGTTCTTCCAGGGCGGACGCTGCCATTGCCCAGTCAAATCTCAGTTTACCAGCGGCAGTCCCGAAGCGATCGAAGGCTGCGATCGTGCAGCGGCCCCGGCCACGAGAGAAACCAATGCCGATTGTCGCTTCCGCCTCCAATCAGGACGAGCGGAGGGGGGTGGAAATCAAGAATTAAATATGTGAGGGCCGCGGCCGGCTCCCGACGTGTGTACACCTCCTGCGATTGCAATGCCGAGCTGTGTGGAGCGAAACAGAATTAAGCACAAGCGCTCACAGCACTCAACCAAACAATGAACGAATTACACTAGTAAGCGCTCTAATCGTTGAGTGAACGATTGGCGCTGTGCGGTGCCTGACGTAAGACAATCTGGGATTCTGTACAATGCCATCGCACGAAGTGAATGGAAATGCCATGCTCGAAGCAAGCACGCGGCCATCGCGTGTCAAGTTGCCGCACAATCATCGATGGTTGATGCATGCGGAATTGACAATCAGCACGCGACCTCCACAGCTTGTTGATGAAAGTGTGGTTGCGCGGCTTCTTGTGACTTAGACAAAGAGGCTCTTGTTGCCCGCGTGAATATCCAGTTGAGCTACCGCGCGATTTCGCCTCCGCGCTCGAGCGAGGGGGGGTGCCTTGCAGGGTGGGAGAGGGGAAGGTCCATGGAACGCCCCTTCCCCAAGCCTTGTATTCGGGACGATTCTGCCTGGAAAGCAAACAACGCAGGGACCTGGCCACAATAATGACATCATCGTGGGCTCGATGCGTTCGGGGGGTGGGCCTTTCTTATTGCCTCGCAAAAGACCAACCGCTGCAACGCCAGCGGATCGTAAATTAGCTTGGGCTCATGCGGGGAGAGCTGATTCGGCCTTGCGTGAGCCTGATTAAACGTTAGGTGTGCTAGCAGACGCGGGGTATCGCTTCTGCGCGCTAAGATCGCCAGCGTGAACAACGTAAATAAAAATACAGCAACCGAACTGGTTATGAAGCATCGTGTAAGAGCATGTCCCGAAGAAGCGGGCTCAGACCGTGGCCCGGTATACCGCGCTGGCTACAAAAGCATGCGAAGTGAAAAAATCAGTTTGCTCTCAATCTCGTTGTGGACTTTGAGGGAAATGGGTGCTTCCTCCAATGTTGCTAGCAAGACGCTAAGTCCTGACTCTGACGGAGCTCCAGAAACGCAAGAACAGTACAGCCCGACCCGACCACGTTCTGCAACGTGAGAACACATAAGAGCACATCCTGAGCCAGCCGAAAAGACATGCAGAATCAGCATGATGTGCTCATCAAGGAACCGTTCCCCTGTTCCCAACCATCCTGTGTTAAGTTGGGCCCACGGTTTGAAGAGACGGTGCCCCGCATCATCCGCCTCCTCTCCTGCTCTTCCCGCTTCTCCCCGTCCATTATTCTCCCGTCACCCCCCTCACTTTGGCACACCCCTCACACGCTTCGTGGCCCCATAGGGGGCTCCACCGAATGCCTCAGTGGCATGATTCGCATGTCGCCCCCCCCTCCACTTTGGCACATCCCTCACACGGTTCGTGGCCCCATAGGGAGCTCCACCGAAGGCCCCAGCGGCATGATTCGCATGCCGCCCCCCTCCACTTTGGCACACCCTTCACACGTTTCGTGGCCCCATAGGGAGCTTCACCGAAGGCCCCAGTGGCATGAATCGCATGCCGCCCCTCCTCCAATTTGGTACACCCTTCACACCTTTCGTGGCCAGCGAAGGCCACAGTGGCATGATTCGCATGCCGCCCCCCCCTCTCCACTTTGGCACACCCCTCACGCGTTTCGTGGCCCCTATGGGGAGCTCCACCGAAGGCCCCAGCGTCATGCTTCGCATGCCGCCCCCCCTCCACTGTGGTACACCTCTGACCCGTCTCGTGGCCCCATGGGGAGCTTCACCGAAAGCCTCAGTGGCGGTGTTGGCATGCGCTTCACCAGCACAGCATAGCGCTTCGTGGCCCCATAGGGAGTTCCACCGAAGGCCCCAGCGGCGGTGTCCGCATGCGTGCCCCCCACCCAGTACAGCGCTTCGCGGCCCCATCGGAAGCTTCACCCGAGGCCCCAGTGGCTGCACTCGCACGCGGTCCCCCCGCGAAGTGCTGCGCTGCGTGGCCCCACAGGGAACTCCATCAAAGGCCTCAGTGGTTGCACTTGCATGCGTCCCCCCCACCCTGCACAGCGCTGCGTGGCCCCATAAGGAGCTCCGCCGACGGCTCCAACGGCGGAGTCCGCATTTGTTTCCCCCACCCAATACAGCGTTTCTGGCGTGGCCCCATAGGGAGGTCCATCAAAGGCCCCAGTGGCTGCACTTGCATGCGTCTCCCCCGCCTAGTACAACGCTTCGGGGCCCCATAAGGAGCTCCACCCAAGACCCCAGCGGCTGCACTCGCATGTGTCTCCCCCATACAAAGTTCCGTGGCCCCATAGGGAGCCCCACCGAAGAACCAACTGGCGTTCCGTAGCCATGTTGGCTCAAGCTGCTTCGCCCCCCGCGCGCGCGTTCGCGCGGTGTCCGTGCGATGATGGTTACGGGGGGCCGCCCGTCCTCGTGGCGGCCCACTTCGGCTCGCGCGTCGGACACCGCTGCTGTCGGTGCCTCTGCGGCGAGGCGCCTCGCCCGCCGCAGGCGCCGTGACGCCTGTGAGGCGCGGCTGCGGTTGCACGCAGGGGGCCGCCGCGCCTGGCCCGTGGCACGACAGGGAGCAGGCCGCGCGGCCCGCGCTGGTCGCAGCAGCCGCCGAACGGCGCGTCCCAGGCAGGACGCGCCCGCGGCGCAACGCTGCCATCCACGCGCGGCGCGTGCCTCCTCGCGGGTTTTGCCGTGCCTCAGAGGCCGAGCTGGCATGGGCGGCAGCGGGGGAGCGCTTCGGGCAGCAGGGCCGCGGTACCGTTCCCGCTGTCCCGATGCTGGCGCCGCCGTTGCTGCATTCGGATGCCCCATCGTTCGTTCTTGTGCACGGGCCGCCTGGATATGCACTCGCGGTGCCACGTGTTGACACACGTGATTGCATCCTTTCTCTGTCTGCCTGTGTTGTTTGCACTTGCAATGTTGTCTTGTACACTTGCGTATGCGTCTTGCTTGACCATTACTGATCTGTTTCAAGGCCTTCTGAGTAACAGTGAAAAGCAGATCGTGAGGAGCTTCGCGATTGTCCGCCCGACCCCCGCGTGCGATCAGTGGCAGCGGAGCGTGGTTCAGGGCCGCAGGCTGCCGCAACACCCGGTGTTGCTGGGCGCAGCTAGCGGGCCAGACGATGCACGGACCTACGGGGATTGGACGGACGACAGGAGTGCGAAGTGCGACACCTGACGGCAGAAGCTTATGTCAGAAGGACTCTCGAAGCGGGACCTCGATTCGATTGCCAGTCGCGTGGTTGAGCTGCTGAAGGGCGACCAGAGCAGCCCACCAGCAGCAGCAGCTGCAGCAGCAACAGCAGCAGGACCAGTACCGCGGTGCTTTCCTCCAGCACAGGTTGCACCATATCTGAGCGATCAGAAAGCAGAACATCCAGCGCCATCATACACGTGGAACGAGCACGGACAATTTCAATTGTGGCACGATGAGCCGTGAGCTTCGACGCGATCAGCGGGCGGGTGGACAGAGCAAGTCTGGACTAGACAGCCTCACGACACAGAGGAGCTCGGGGCGTTGGACGCGCGCGACCAGGCCCCAGCACCAGTGAGAGACGACAGCTCCACGCCTCCGTCGATGAGAGCCCGGCGCCGAGACAAAGGCGCGGAGCAAACCGACGCCCCACCGTTGAGCCGATGGCAGGGCAACTCCTGGCAGCCCAGTGGCTGGGCCTCCTGGGGCGGAGGCTGGAACGAGAAGCGAAACATCCGACCTCCGCCGTCTTGGCCAGGCTGGGGCAAATTCAGACTGCAAGCAGTATGTGATCAGATGGAGGCGCGACTCTTGGCTTTCGGAGACCCAGTGCACCGACCGACTAGTGGAACAGCTTTCCTGGGGCCTACGACCTGGGAGCCAAACTGCAGCATGCTCCTGAGCAGGACCTCGCGGTGGGCCAGATCGCGCATCACCTTAGACGGGAAGCTGGAGAGAAAGAGAGAGAGAGAGAGAGAGAGAGAGAGAGAGAGAGAGAGAGAGAGAGAGAGAGAGAGAGAGAGAGAGAGAGAGAGAGAGAGAGAGAGAGAGAGAGAGAGAGAGAGAGAGAGAGAGAGAGAGAGAGAGAGAGAGAGAGAGAGAGAGAGAGAGAGAGAGAGAGAGAGAGAGAGAGAGAGAGAGAGAGAGAGAGAGAGAGAGAGAGAGAGAGAGAGAGAGAGAGAGAGAGAGAGAGAGAGAGAGAGAGAGAGAGAGAGAGAGAGAGAGAGAAACCCCCCGAACAAAACGACGCAGTCTTCAGAGCAGGCAGCGAGGGCGCCAGAGTCATCGAGCCTGGGGAGACGACCAAAAGTCTCACAGCAGCCTCCTCGAGCTCAGCAGCGCCAGGCCAAGTCCAGCGACGAGGGCGGCGATTGCGAAATCGGACCTCCAGAGTCGGCGTGGCCCTGGTGGGCCGACGACCTGGGCTCCGACGATGAGCTCGGCGTCTTAGCGGGGCTCAGCGGGCGGGGCCTCGTTGAGGACGAGGTCGACGAGACGCTGGCTCAGATGGGAAAGGGCCGCCAGGAGACCTGGACGGAGAACAGGGACTTGAAGAATGCGGTCGAAAAGGTTCGCGGCTACTGGACGCGCAGGCGCCGACGCACACCGGCGCAGCTCAAGCTGTCGCGAAGTGCGGAATTGCGGGGGGACGGGCCGCCGGCGCACGGAGTGCAAGAACCCGTCCAAGCCCAAGGAGCTTCGTCAGCGAGGACACAAAGGCGCCTCAGGAGCAGGCGGCGCAGCGTTCTCCTTCGACGGCAGCGGCTTCATCCGCGCTGAGCAGGGCGAGAACCTCAACGGCAGCTCCTGGACTACATTGCTCGGCGAGGAGGCCCTCAGGGTGCTCCGCGGGCAGTGCTTCGGGAAGAGCGAAGAGGACAGCAACGACCAGAAGATCCTCGCCTTCCTCGCGCTCGAGGACGGCTGCGCGATCGCGGACAGCGGGGCCTCCCAGGCGATCATGGGCAAGCGGTCCCTCGATTGCTTCGCCGAGGGCCTGAAGCCCCGAATGCTCGCTCCTGCGTGAATCGACGAGCCCGCCAGACCCCCGGCGGACAGGCCGCCGCGCTGGCGCGGCCATGATTCCGGTGGCGACGGGAGGCAAGTCTGGAGTGATTGAGTTTGTCGTGGCCAAGGATAGCCCCCCACCTCTGTTACCTGGTGAGTTCCTGAACTCTTTCGGCGCCATGTTGGATTATCTGTGGGGGCAGTTCATTATGCAGAAGATCGGGCCCACAGTGCCCATGAGGATGTCGGGCAGGGGTCACAGGGCGACCAGGCTGAATGAGTGGCGGGCTCTTGAGAGCCAGTTCGAACCGCCAGAACACCTGGCGCAGCGCTGCAGGGACTTACGGGGCATCGAGAAAATTCTAGTAGACGGGCCCTGATCTCATCACCCTCTCCTTCATCCCCTCACCCTTCCCATTGTGCCCCCCCTTCTGTTCCCCGCAGCCCCCCTCCCAGCACATGCGTTACTCGCGCGACCTCTACAGCCGATTACCCGACGGTGCTTAGGAGTGCCGGCCGACGGTGATCAAGCGCGTCAAGTTCGAGGACGAGGCCCGCTCAGCCATGGGGCTTTGGACGGCCCCCCCGGTCTCAGGGGCCGCCAACTTCGACGGGGCCAGGGCCGAGGTCTCGAGGCCAATCGAGGCCCTGCGGCTCTTCGACACCAAGAACTACAAGATGCGACTGCTCGAGGACGCGAAGCTACTGCTGGAGACTCAGACCAGAGCTTGGACGAGATGCGCCCATCCACCATGGAGATGGAGAGTGTCGAGCTCAGCGAACCCGCCCGTCCCGCGGGACTTCTGCTCGAGCTGCCGGGCGCGAGTCGCCTGGCGCCCCGAGATCAACGCGGGCAACGGCAAAGCAGGATGACGGACCAGGAGCTGGCACTCTTTCGACGGCAGTTTGCATCTCCCGCGCGCCGCTCGACCCTTCGGAGCCCTGCGCCAGCCGCGAGGCCTGCAGATCGCCTTGCGGCGTCCAGGGATCAGTGGAGCGCCCTGTCTCGCGGACGTACTGGGTCAGCTGCGCCACGGTGACCCCCGCGCCGAGTCCACGCTCCATCTGAGGCGGGCATCTCCCGCAGCATCCATGGAGCTCAGACGGGTGAGCAAGCGCCCGGAGTCATGCTGGATACATCTACCCCAGGCTGCTAGTCGCCATCGAGGATTGTGGAGCAGCGTATTTCGTGCGAGCAAGGCCGACCTATGCTATTCTTCCTGTTCTGAGGAGAGTGACCTGTGCTTGGAGACAGTGAGTGCTGAAGAGCTGTGCACGCCATCATCGCCCTTAACATCGCCACCGGCCAATGCAACACCACCTATGACACCGCACTCTTCATCATCACCTACGTCACCATCGACCACGGCATCGTCTCCAATGACACCATTCGCACCATCATCAGCGACCCAGGTGTTGATGGCACCTTTATCAACATCATCTACACCATTGACGACTGTGACAGGACTGATGTCGATGACGCGTTCATTCCCTGGGATCTCTTGGGACCGTGCGTTGCATGTCCCCGTGGGCTGCTTTCCAGAGGCTGAGAACGACGCGGATGACACTTGGGCCTGCGCAGAGGGCCCGAAGAACACGCCGGCACGCAATGGGCCCCCAAAGTCTCTCCGCAAGGCCCTCAACAGGCTCGGGCGCGGATCCCTGGGCGCTCGTGCCCAACAGGACTTCATTCAGATCTTCTCTCCTCCTAGCACTGGGCCTCATGTATCTCGTCTTGGCAGAGTCGCTACTGGGGGCAGATTGGATTTACGGGCAGGCTGGGATTACAAGCTATCCAAGCATCACCAGCTCGCCCGGAGTTTGATTGACCTCTGGAAGCCGTGGTTCGCGTTTCTGTGCCCACCGTGCGCGGAGTTTAGCAGTCTCTCCGACTAGCGGAGACCGCCGGGCCCCCCGCCGGTCAGCCATCAAGCGCGCCGAGGCCATGGCCCTGTAGGGCTTCGCGTTGGAGGTCGCTGCCGATAGGGTCTCTCGAGCCCAGAGGTTTGCGATCGAGCAGCCCCGACGGGCGCGCTCACTTCGTTTGCGCGGGGCCGAGTGGTTGTGTAGTCGGGCTGGCGTCCAGGAGGCATCTTTCGACGCGCGCAGGTTGGTCTCCGTGTCGAAGGCGAGTCTCTCTCGAAGAAACCTACGGGCACCCCGTCCAATGATCCAGCGTTGCTTTAGGCTCTCCCCGTGAGAAAGTTCAGGGGCGATCACAGGCGCGAGTTGTTGGTCGGGGGTTGGGCCGCGTCGAGGGCCGCCGTATATCCCGACAAGTTGAGTCGCGCCGTGGCCAATGCAGCACTGAGATCATCGCGGATCGAGAACGAGCGTAGATTTGTCGAGACACCCTCTTTCCCTGCCTATCCCACAATCTTGCGCGACGAGGACCCAGAAGCATCATGGGTCGGCGGGCCGGCGGAAGACGACGAGGAGTGCGCGGGGGCCGAGGAAGTTGAAGGAACACCAGATGTCGCGGAGACCGTGCTCACCCAGGAGCAAATGAAGATGGTGCAGAAGGCGCGCTCAAACATAGGAGACCCCACGAATCGCGACCATCTTCGCATTCTACGCAGCGCACGCGCACGCCCTGAGGTATCGCAGTGCGCACAGAAACACTTCGAGCGCTCTATCTCCGCGCTTTATTTCTGAACGTCGGACTTGTATTTCCCGCCCGCGCGCCTTCAACGCAATCATCGGCATCGGTTGTTTGTATGTCGTGCACCGTCGGCAAATCTATGCGTTTCTCAATGCCGCGTGCATAGGTACTTCTCTCTAGTGGGCTCGTCTCATCGGCGCAAGTCGCTGCTCTCAGCCCGGTCTTGTCTGGCACGTATTTGCTGAAGGATGGCTTCGCCACTGCGGTCCGCCAGAAGTGATCACGTCGGACGGAGGCGCGGATTTCGAAGCAGAGTTTGATCGTCCCGCAGAACAGTCAGGATCATATCGACACGTGGCCGACGCCGAGTGCCCCTGACATAACGGGAAGACTGAGCGGGCAGGTGATCAGTAGTTGAAGGGGCGTTTCCAGCGGATTGTTGAAGAAGCGCTGTTGAACAGCCCGAGTGAATTGGAGCAGGCAGCTTGCGAGCTCGCGCGTTGGCGAAACCGATTCCTCAACAGAGGCGGATTTTCTCCACTGCACCTGGCGTTCGGTCAGGGCCCTCGATTGCCCCGCGAGCTGCACTCAGAAGACACTCTAGTCACATTGGTTTACGCGAGCCCTCGGAGGCGAGTGGAGATGTGGACAGTGCCGCAGCATTTTTAGCCATCAGCACGCCATTTGCACCAGGGCCAGAGAGCTGGCGACGGAGGGAGATGCTCGGAGCAAACTCAGCCTCGCTTTACGTTCGGCGCGGCATCGTGACCGGGAGATTGGGCGCGCGTGCGGCCCCCGATTTAGTTTCGAGGATATTTCGATCGGCAGGCGACCCAGGGGCGGCTGCCTCCAGCCAGGGATCCGAGCCCGCAGCTGAACCGACACCCCCTGGAGTCTCAGAGGTGTCATCGCGGAAGGCCTCGGACATCTCCCTAGCACCTCAAGGTGGAGCGCTTCAAGGTCGACCACGAGTCGCGGACACCAGGGGCACCAAGGCAACCAGAAGTCAGAACTGCCCAGCCTGAGCCGGTCATCAGACCTGAAGATTTCCGATCCAGCTCGAGGGGGGCTCCCTCGTCTGCGCAATTTCGGCGCAGCCCTTCCTACTTCTGTCGAGCTCTTACCTCATGCCTCCGACCGAGCTCGGCAACGCATCGAGGCCTGGGACCGTTGGGCTCAGCCCAGGGACTCCGGAGAGATGGCAGTTGACTCCCAAGCAGTTTCCGACGAGGAGTTCCTAAGTGCTTATTGCGAGTCATTCGAGACTTGGTTCCAGGATCAGGGATGGAGTGGCATTTCTGTTGGGTGCACCAACGGCTCCCAGGACCTCGCGCGTGTCTTACTCGGAGGACAGCGTCGGCAGTTGGAACCTCCTGTCTTCCAAGGGTGGCCAGGTCAGGGCCACTTGAATTTAGAGGAGCGCGAGCAGTTCAGGGCTTACGACGAGGCCGAGTGGGCAGTGCTGAATCGGCCCCGGCGCCCTTCTGGCGCTGTCACTGGCCGAGTCTCAGCGCGTGGCCGACACCAAGCCTGACAGGGCCCTCTCATCAAAGATGGTGCGTCGCTGGAAGGGCCAGGAGGGCGCCTTCAGCGCCGAGAAGGGTAAGAGTCGCTGGCGCGCGCGTGGGTTCCGAGATCCAGACGCCGAGAAACTGACGATTTACTCTCTGACTCCGCAGTCGGAGTCCATGCTGATATTCGCCATGGTTTTGTTGCTTTGCGATATGGAGCAGGCCATCGTGGACCGCAAGGATGCGTTCAGCTAGTCCCGCCCGCCGACGCGTTCGGGTGGACCGATCTACGTGGCTCCCTGCGAAGGTCTCGCTGGAGTACATGTTTCAGAGGGTTGTCTGATCGAACTCGAGGTGGCGGTGCATGGACTGGACGACGCGCCGTGGGAATGGCACGTTACTCTCACATCCTCCCTTTCCGACTTGGGATTCCGCAAGCTGTTGTTGGAACCTTGCTACTGGACGAATTGCGGGGAAAATCAGTATGTGGCGCAGGTGCTGACCGAGGTCGACGACCTGTGGCTCGGCGCACTCGCCAGTCACGCGAAGCGGTTGCACGAGAGCCTCCAGGGCCGCTTCGCCGTCGGCAAATGGCGCGGGGACGAGGCCGAGTTTGCTGGCCAGCGGGCGCGCAAGGAACGACGCCGCATCCGCATCGACCAGGAGAAATACATCCTGGAGGAACTCAGGACTGCGCCTCTTTATCGCGGCCGCCGGTCCCAGAGACAGAGCCCCATCTCCAGCTGTATTCACTTTGCCCCGTTCTGGGGCGTTCCGGCGGAACTGGGTTGCCAAGGGGTCTCGACCAGAGATATCAGGGACAGCTTCCACGTTGGCAAGCAGTCTGGACCATGCTACTATCGAGGACGTTCTTGTACACGACTAGGCAGTGCAGCTCATGAGACACTGCAGCACAGTATCTCATGATTTGGAAGCACGATATGAGTCAGGTGGTTGCTATGACGGCCAGCGACGCTGCTGGCATAGGCTCCGAGGGCCCTGTGCAAAACGCGTGGCTCGCTGGGATTGCAGACCCTCAGCTTGCCACTGGCCAGGCCACTCGTGTCTCTGCACTTTCCTGGAGGTCCTCCAGGATTAAGCGCGCCGCCAACTCCTCTCTAGCAGGCGATGCCCACTCTTTGCGTCAGGCCGTAGCAGAGGCGGAGCGGATGCAGCTGTTGCTTCGCAATGCCCGTTTTGGCGAGGAGCT